GAGAGGCCAGGAGGGGGCCTGGCCAGTGAGCCCCCGGCTCTGCCAGGGCACTTAGCCCCACCCCTACCTCAGGTCCTCTGTGCTCAGTCACCTCCTTCCAGGGCTGTGAGCACAAACAGTAGAGAGAGCTGGGAACTTTGCAAATACAAGGCTTGGGCAGCATTTCATGAGGCTGTGACGAGTGAACTGCCTTGTCCCCAGCAGAATGAGTATTTCACGTGCCTCTCTGTGCTACAGAGGGGACATGTTATGGCCATTCAAAGCAAACATGAGTCTTTACAAACCTTAGCTGCAGTGGGGACAGGTGACTTCCGGCGGGGAAGAGGAAGTACAGGGGAACAGCGGCGCTTTCAGAGGAGGAGACGGGAGAAAAGGCACAGGTGTGACAGCAAAGGACAAAGAAATAAGCGTTATGTTCACCTCATAAACGCCAAATTCAGAGCCAGTGGGAACCAGGCCACCTGGGGCTGTCAGGTGACTTACGGGAGGACAACTGGATGTGGACTCCCAAGTAAGACCTGGAGAAAGCAGACTGCAAGGATCTTGCTTCTCCAGGATTCAAGGGCCCTGAGGGAGGGTCTTATCTTAACTGAGGATACAAAGAAAGGGGAGACTTCTCAGGGAGCCAGAAAGGGCTGACAGGTCCGAGCTCTGCAGAAGGGCTGGGAAGACCCCAGCAAGGCTGTCCCAAAGCCTTGACTCTCAAAGTCCGGGTTACGGCACCACCTGTCTACCTGGATATAGCCTGTGGGGCGTGTTCATGCAGTGGGCAGGGGGCTGGACTAGATCGCTCCCGGAATCTCATATCCCTCTGGGTTATTATAAGCCTAAGATTCCCAGCATTGATGGAAAGAAAGACTAGTCATCTTGAGAACCACTTCTGAGGTTGGAGAGAACTCTATGGGCCAAGGGCATAAAAGTGGCCTCCCACTCAGATCGCAGCAGCAGAAGCAGGAGAGGGCCCTCCCTCTCCGGAGGAGGTGATTCTAAGGAAGAGCAGGGTTGCAGGGACTACACCTACCAAGGGAAGCGAGGCCAAGGTCATGGCCATTGTGTATTACTCTGCAAGTCACACAGTGCGGTGGCAACACACCCAAGGCTACACGAGTACGTAGGTTCTATGCACATTAATCATGTTTACTATAGCAAGTTCCCAGCAGGTGATGGTAAAGCATCTTGAGAAAGGGGTGCCTCTTCCTAATTAGCAAGAGCATCGCGTGGACGAGCTTCTGCCCAGGTCCAGCCTCCCGGAGCCAGGGGCTTCACGTTGCGGCGGGAAGCAGAACAAAGACAAGATCCCTGTGTGAGGTTCAGCCCTTGCTGGTATTCCCCAGGCTGACAGTTAAAAAATTTCTTCTTTAAGTGACCTAAGGATCTTTCTAAAGCGTTCATTGTGTAGTAGAGTTACCTGCAGATGAACACTAATTATTTGCACATCCATAGTTTGGCGCTTTTTATTATGCGGCCTTCACCCTGAGCTCCAGCAGTCCTGCCCCCTGAAAAGCTGAAAAAAACTGCAAATCTGTGTGCAATCACACAAGCCATTTTCAGCCCCAGCAGAGAGGCTCTGGGTTTGTTGGCATAACAAACAGTCATCCCCAGGGCATAAGTAACATGACCTGGCTCTCAGGACGAGTGGATCGCTTGTGCCGCCTTGGAAAGGCAGGAAGCGCCAAAGAAGTGGGACAATCGATTCTGGCGGCTCAAGGGACGCTCTGAGATCAGTGCCGCCTCCCCCACAGAGCTCTCGGCCACTGCAAACGGCTCCCGCAGTCACAGCGGCAAACTGCTGTAAATGATGCCCATTAACCAGACCCGACTTCTGAGCCCGGGGGCCCCATGGGACCAAGCAGGCTGTGGACAATCCCGCAGACCACAGCAGTCACCTCCCAGGAGATGTCTTTGTGCTTCCCATCCAGTGAGGCTGCCCTGGTCCTGGGCAAACACAGCCTGATTGGCTGAGACACAAAGCAGGCCCCTCCTCTCAGGTAAACAGCCTGAAATAGGACGGGAGCTGAAGGAGCTTGTGCCTCAGGAGGTCTGAGTGTCTGGGGGCCTCGGGCCAGGACTAAGAACTTGGTAACCAACTTCTTAACCTGCTCCCTGGACACTGGTTAGTAAGAACCTTAACACACTCAGGAGACAAAGGGAGTAACAAGCGTGCAGCTGGGGCCTCCAAAGGTCCCCTGGAGACGAGGCTTCTCTGGGTTGTCCCTCCCCCACCCCTTTGTCTCTGGGAGACCGAGTGCCTGGCTGCCCCTTCTGCTCGGACTCAGGATCAGGCTGCCTGTGCGAAAACCCTGCCTATACCTCCCACTTCTTAGGGGTAAGTGAGAGTATCGCTTCGTACTCTGAGGAGGGTATTCTGCGCTGCCTGTGTTTGCAAAATAAAGTGAGACAGAGCCCAGGCCCTGGGAATCAGAGGTCCCTGCGTGCCCTCCACCTGCCTCACCAGTTGAGCCCCCACGCCCACCCCACCCCCACAATCCCACTCCTCCCTACAGAACACGAAGGGAGGGAGATGGCAAACCAGCAGCCAACCATAGAAGTGTTTGGAAATAAAAGAAAGAAGTGATAAAACCCCGCCTCCCCTCCACCCCACCGCACGCACACGTTCTTTTCAGCCTGAAATTCACCAGAGTTATAAGCAGCTCCGGAAGAGAAGCTGGCTTCCGCACACACGGACGTGTTTAGTCACTTTGCTCTCCTAACCCTGAGCTGGGCTCAGCTCCCCGAAACAAGTGGGGTTATGGCTGGGAGGAGGGCAGGAGAGACAGAAAGAATTTTAAGCTGGTGCTGAAAGTACTGCGTGTGCTTGGCCCGCTTCTCCAACTCCTGCTCTCAAAGCGCGGCCCCTCCAGGGGCACACGGACACCGGAGGACGCCAGGAGTCCACACGTAATGATAGCAACAGCAACAGCTCCGATAACCGAGCCCCGCCATGTACTATCTGATCCTCCCAGAGGCCCCGTTCAGCAGGTACGCATCCTGGGCCCATCTTACGTTTGTGGAAGCTGAAGCTTGGAGAAGGCAAGCATCTCACCCCAAGTTACAAAGCCGGTAAATGGTGTGAATGAAAAATATCGCCAGCCATATCAGCAAACAAGGGATACTGCCGCCATCAAGTCATCAGCTGCTACCGCTGCCCTGACAGTGAGCGGAGGGAACTCAGGCAGCCCATTCTCTGCTGCCACCCCTAGTGGTGCCCCCAAGGGGACTCAGGATGGGAAAGCATAGGACACTGGCCCCAGACAGCTAAGGTGCACATCAAAGGAATGGTTTCAATGAGCCCAGACTCTTGTCCCTTCCTATTCATAGACAAGCGCTGAATTCCCTAACTTGAGATGTCCAGTTTTCTTTAATTAACATTAATCTTTGGATGGTCTAGACTAGCTGGTCTTTGTTGCAAAAACCCCTACATATTCCGGCTTCTCCCTTGCCTCTCTGACGTCTCTTAGAGCAATCTGAGAGGCTACCTCCCGAGCTCGAGTCCTCAGAAAGTCCACCGAATAAAACTCACTCTCAACTTTTAGGTTATGCATTTGGTTTTTTTAGTCGACAATGGCCTGACCCCAAACCCACGCCCTTAGCAGAATGCTGAGGCCCGGGGAGGGGAACACAGGGCGCTACAAGGGCAAGCGTCCGCTACTCCAAAGCTTTCCTGGAAAGAGGAACCTCCTCCCTTCCCGACAGCACCGCCCTCTGCCCAGCTAGAGCTCGTCTGCCTCGGTCGGTTGCCAGTCCTGGGCTATGCTCTGGGTGACACTGGACACCACTGAAACCCTAGAAACCCAAGAAAAAGGGGCGTCTGGAGTGTACTTGTTGATAAACTGGAAATTGTGCTTCCAGTTTAGGCAGGTGGGTTGAGCATCAACCCAGAACATTTTCCTGGGCCTGACATACTCCTTGGTTCAGAAGATCAGATTTTGCTCCCGCTAGGTAGGGGTGGGGAAGGGAAAGGGGTATTGTGTGTTGGGGGGGTGTGGGGGTGTGTGTTTTATTTTGCTTCTGGAGTAGGAGAGGGCTGGAGTTTCTCTACTTATACAAAGATTTGGTTCTGCAGGTGATGGACTCAGGTTATTATTGGAGGTAGTCACAGTGTAGATAGACTACACGCTCTAATTCGCATTCATGCGTCCAAGCTAGCGGCTTCAGGCCCGTCCCCACCCCTTCCTCCCACCAGCTCCCGCCCCCTCTGAACCAAGTGTAAAGGAACCCCCTTCCTACTGATGGGCTGCTGAAAACTTGGGGCCTTGCCCCCCATTTATACTTTATAACAGTCACTTACTGAGCACTTAAAAAGGAATGGCTTTCCAGACTCACAAAGGAAACAAACGTGTGGTTACCAGGGAGGAAGTGGGCGCCGAGGGAGAGATAAACTAGGAGTTGAGTATTTGTAGATACTAATTACTCTATATAGAATAGATGAACAGCAAGATCCTACTGGAGAGCACAGAGAACTGTATTCACTTCTTCGTGATACTTTGTAATAATGAAAAAGAATATGGCAAGAAATATACATGTATATATATATATAAAATATATATATAGCTGAGTCACTATGCTGTACACCAGAAGCTAACACAACATTGTAAACTGACTATACTTCAATTAAAACATTTTTTTTAATTAAAAAAAAAGAAAAATTTTTGACTGCAGAATTTCAGACAGGTGGCAGTGATGACGGTGCGATTTGGGGACGAGAGGGCCTTGGAATGTAAAACAGAACAGTATAGACATTTGCTGTACCAACTCATTAGACCAGGCCCATCTTCAGAGCTTCAGGCCCAGAATGGTATTAGAATTCAAGTTAACCAGACTCTGGTCAGAGCTGGGTTTCAGAAGGAAAGGGGCACAAGGGACACTGAGCATCCAGAGGGCCCCACAGTGGTAGTGCCACCCCTCCCCTCGATGGAGGACCTGGGCCTAAATGTCATTCTGCCTCTTGACCCCAGAAGCCCCACACCACCCAGACCACATCCAGCCAGGGCCGGACCCACCTTCTGCATTTCAGAGGAGACGTTGCAGGAGCTGCTTGGGGGGGACGCCCGCTGGCACCGCTGTTCCCCACTGCTCAGGGCCCAGGAGTTGGCAAAGTCGTAGGGGTCTGAGGTCAAGGTCCCTGTGGAGAAAGTTTCAAGGGAATGAAGCCATTTAGGACACCCAGGACTTCTGAGTGAACACTCCAGGTCTGTCATCACCTGAATCAACTTTCTTGAGACTGGCCCATGGGCATCTGGGGTGGGGGCACCTCAGCACAACACCGCACGGCCATGGGCACCGGAGCTCAGTCAAGTCTGAGAAGAGGCAGCTGGACGGATGCGCCCAGTGAGGACGGTGACGGGAAAGGCAATGAGGAACAAGCACCCCCCACACTGTCACTTCTGCCTTTTCATGCTTTCCTCCCTCTGTGGAATGTCCCCCACCCCCTTAGTACCTTGACTATCTCCACATATTCTTTCAGATGCAGCTCTGGGACCCCTTCCTCCAGGAAGCCCTACTGAATTAGCTCGCTGCCCCCACCCCAACCTGGCTGGTGTTCCTTCTCTGGGCTCCCTCAGCACTGTGGCCACCCTTCTATCAAGACTCTCGTCTTCCTTTGAGTTAGGGTCCCTTTTGCTTGTATTTATCCCCCAGTCAACTGTGAGCTCCTCAGTTCAGGGCACAGGCTGTCTCTCTTTTTATTTTTTTTTATTTTTATTTATTTATTTGTTTATTTTTGGTGGAGGGAGGTAATTGGGTTTATTTCTTTTTAAAGGAGGTGCTGGGGATCGAACCCAGGACCTCGTGCATGCTAAGCATGTGCTCTACCACCTGAGCTACACCCTCCCCTCTACAAGCTGTGCCTCTTATCTCTAAACTC